GCTCATGATCAAGCTCATCCCTAATTCTTTCATAGTATTCCCCTAGGTAGGTGAAGAACTTGGGTGGTCTTCTAATACAAATACTACTCCCAAGGGATTGTGGTTAGGGTTCTTGAGACAACCTGGTAACTAGCCCTCTCATAGAGATCAGCCTTCTTGTGACTAGTATTTGATTCAAGGAACTCCCCTCAAAGAAGTGGGCGTCTTTGCTCTCTATGACAGCCCCATTCTCAAGGTTGTAGAACCGATACCCCTTACTGTGGTCTTGGTAACCAATAAAGATGCATTCAACGGTTTTGAGATCAAGTTTAGCCCTATTTTGGTATGGGACTAGGACATGGGCTGAACAACTCCATACTCTTAGATGCTCAAGGGACGGAGCACAACCAATGAATATTTCGTGAGGAGTAAGAGGTGCAGCCTTAGTGGGTATGCGGTTGAGAATATATCTCACCGCCAATACTGCTTCTCCCCAAAAGTCAAGTGTTGCATGCCCATTTATACTTCTCACCATTTCTACGAAGGCCCTATTTCGTCTCTCAGTGACTCCGTTTTGTTCAGGTGTATAAGGAATAGTGTATTACTATATAATTCCATGCTCTACACACAAGTCTCTATGGCTCCACCCCTATTGATTCTTAGGATCGATTCTTAGGACTTTTATCTTTTGGTTTGTTTGATTCTCTACCTCGACTTTGTACTCCTTAAATCGGTCTGGGGCTTCGGATTTTGAATGCACTAGGTAAATATGGCCATATCGCAAGTGGTCATCAATAAACGTGATGAAGTATCTCTTGTGGCTCTTGATTGCCACATTCATGGGACTTGCATATGTCATTATGGATGATTTATATATTATTAGAATCTTCTATATTATTAGAAGCTCTTTGTGCCCCATTGGAATTTTCCTTATCATTTTTCCTTAAATGCATGATTCACACACTTTGGATAAATCTCCTTTGTAGTTTTCTAAAAGCCCATCTTTCTTTAGTTGGGACTTGCATATGTAGTAATGGATGATTTCTATATTATTAGAAGCTCTTTATGCCACAGTGAAAGGTTTTCCTTATTATTTTTCCTTGCACGCATTATTCACACAGTTTGGATAAATCTCCTTTATAGTTTTCTAAAAGGCCATCTTTCTTTAGTCTTCCCATTCTTTTATAACTTATGAGCCATAATTGCATGTTCCATAAATAAGCATCATTCTCATGAGAAGGAGATGAGACATAAGCAATTTCTTCTTTCATTTCAATAATATAGAGGTCGTCCTTGAGAAGACCGGTCATAACAATTTCACCATAATTCTTGACTGTCACCTTAGTAACAGAGAAGGTGGTGACATACTCGGCCATAGGGAACTTGGGGGCCGAAAACAAACACTTCCTCATTTCAGGAGCATAAAGTGTTTGTTTTATAACCATAGTCTTTTCATTCTTCATTTCTAACATACAGTCCCCAATGCCCAGAACTTCAGCCTTTTGGCTTCCTCCCATGAAGATATGTTGCTCGCCTGGCCTCACAGGTTTAAAATTACGATATCCATCTTTGATGTTTGACACATGGGTAGTAGCTCCAAAGTCAAAACACCAAGATGCACCCTTAGTGTCAGCTAACATGCTCTCAAAGACTACATGGCATGTTCTTAGCAATGTGACCGATCTTTTTTTTTCTAAACGTAATGTGATCGATCTTTTTACAGACAAAACATTGTCTCTTCTCTTTTGTAGCCTTATTATTGTCTTGTTCTCTCTCCCCCCTTTTGTTTTTTTCATTCTTCATTCTATTATTAAATTTCCCTCTCCCTTTTTTTGGTTTGAAATTTGATTTAGACTTAACCATGTGCATCGAATCTTTCGGTGTCGGTGTATCACGAGCATTGTCTCTCCTCCTCAGCCTTTAACCACCAGCTCCTCTAACCTAGGAGTAGCCTCTCTAGCTATAAGAGGGGCCACAAACACCTTCCATGAGGCGGGGAGAGTATTTAGAATGTGAACCACTTGCATAGGTTCATTGGGTCGAAGGTCGATCGCCTCCAATTCACAAACCAAGGCTCTGAAAGTGTGCATAGAGTCTTCCACACACGTGATAAATTAGCAAATTCCTTCTCAAGCCTTTCATGCATGGCTTTTACGATCTTGATGGTCCCGTACTCCGATGCGTACGAATCGTGCGTAGCCACCAGTAGGATACGCTTTGCAAGCATATTTTTGCACTCCCACTTGGTACATGCATCTCGGGTAGCCTGAGATGCATTCCCTATAGGATGAAATGATGGAGCCTCAGTGAGAATATCATGCAAACCTTCCTCATAGAGCACAGCGCTTCCATGAGGCATAATTCGTTCCATCATATCTCTCGGTCTTTAGCAATAGAACTTTTAATTGCTACGTTTACTTGTCCCAAAAGTATAAAATAATAACAAAGAAATAAAATAGTGGAAGCAAAAAACCCTTGCTTCGATACCAATGAAAGTGGACGATGAAAACTAGCACGGTCTATAGAATACTTACATATGTCCAAGAATTACAATCAAAACTCAAATAAATGTTTAAAATAAAACTTTGGATTCTCACTTGTTATCACCTTTCAAAAGTTTTTCATTACATAACTAAAATTACATCAATTGAGATCGGGAACAAGAAAATATAAGAAAGCATAAAACAAGATAGTGTGCCAAAAGATTATCTCTAATGGACTTTACACAGCCCACACAAGGTCTCCTCCACCAATGGCCCACAAAATCTTGGCCTTTCTTGAATCTCACCAAAATGGGAAGCTTGGTTAAACCCTCTACTCAGAACTTAAGAGCATGCACATGGAAGATGGGGCCTCTCTTACTTCTCTAACTATGTGGGGCATACCCCCTTTACTTCCTTGATGACCTAGGGGCATGCCCCTCTTTCGTTTCTAATTAGAGTGTATAAGAGAGAGAGAAGAGTATATATAGAGAGAGAGGGTGGCGTGCCACCTATGGGGGGCCGAGGGCCGGGGGGGGAGTGGAGAGAGCTCTAGGCTATTGTGTGTAATGGTGAAACCCATTGACATGTATTTATAAAAGTGAGGTAGGGTTACGGTTTTAGGGTTTAGCCATCCTTATAGAGATTTGATCTAGACTGTTGATCATAGGTGACCTGTGGAGTAAGAGATCGTAGCCATACAATCTATAAATCAACCATCATGATCTAATAGAAGGCGCTAGAACCTTATCCCTCAGCTTCCTTAATCTAATCGCATCAAATATTTTTTTTTGTGTAAAGAAAATATATATACTTCCTTTTAATTTCAATCAATCTCTACAAACCCCCCTTTTGAAATCAATTAACCTCTTTTATAAAACTTTCCATTTCATTTCCAAATCAATTGCATGGCTTAATCCAAAACCCACATAAAATAGAAAGAAAGAAAATGTGGGCCGTCCCATTTATGGTGACATAGTGGGCCCCATGCCCACATCCAAAAAGGGCCTAATGTGGTAGGCAACAATGAATTTTGGGCCCCCCTCCAGCCCAAAAAATTAAATAATTTTTTAAAATAAATCAAATGATTTTTAGAAATACAAAGTATTTTATTTTTCGCTTTGAATATTCAAATACCTGAAATTTCAGTTTTAGCTAATTTAAAAATCAAATTTGATCAAATAAAATATCCATAGACTTCTAAAACTTTATTTTGAAATTCTAAAAATCATTTAAACCAAAATTAATTATACTACAATTAATTTGATAGGAATCGAATCCAACTTCGTTAAGGAAAATACAAAAATATTGAGGTTCTCCATCTCTACTAGTGACTATGTCTCACTCCCACTTCCTCAAACTGACCCAGTAGTTCCCATGACCATAGTCCATCACAAGGGTTCATGATGGGATTACCAAAGTCAGCCAATAGGTGATGAGAACACAACCGTAGTCTATGGACTATAGGTTACCCCTAGGAACAAGCCTTGATCACACATTCCTATGCACACTCATTGCAATTAGAATATAAGGGCTATCTCTTGCACATGTATACGTAACACCCTCAATGGTATCTACTTCCCAATACGGCCATCATATATACATTCCATGTGATGGTCATGATGAGGATTTGGCCCTTGTACCTTCAAGCCTACCAATCACACACAAGGGTTACTAAGTCCCTTGGCCAACTACTCTGGACATCTCTCCGAAATCATCGAAGGCTAGCCCAACAAATCCTTCTCGGTTATGTTATATGCCAAGGTCTCATAGGGTTTTAGAACTCAACTCGGCCTTATTTGAGTCTTGGCATCAGTATTGCCAACTTAGGCCCTCTAAACCAAACACCTACTGGAGTTCATTTCACTTTTATAAAATTTCATTACATGCTCTCGTCAGGCCTTTAAATGGCCACAAAATCCCAACATGGATAACTTAGGTGTCGCTCCAACAGGCAATAAGACGAAAGAAAGTAGACTTAGGAGGGCGAGTCATATGCAGCGTAGACCCAGTACAATACATGTTAGGAGGAGAGAGTTGGTTCAAGTCGAAGGCTCAAAAAGGGTAAGGGGTAGGCCCAAAAGGACATGGTTGGAAGTAGTGAGAAAAGATATGCAGAATTATGGCCTCACTAAGGGTATGGCCCTTGATAGAGCAAAATGGTGAACTAGGATTCTCGTAGCCAACCTCAAATAGTTGGAAAAAGGCCCTGATGATGATGTAAGGGATTCTCCTTATTTGCCAATTATTTAGGATATGGTTCTTGTGTGCCTATTGACGTATGGATCTATGATACTTTTGTCATTGCATCAATGTCATTCATGCATTTATTTTGCTACTGCTTCGAAAGAATCATGTTAGACTGAAATACGGAATTCCTAAATGTCACTTCTCCAAGTCAATATTTATGCTATGGATGCCTCGTGTGGGAATTTATGGACATATGTGAATACACTTGTGGTCACATCAATGTAACTCATTAATCTCTTTTATGCACTGCTTGAAAAATTAAAGAATAAATACAAAATTACCAGAATGTACCTGTCCCTGATAATATTTATGCTATGAATGCCTCGAATCCTAGCAAGCTGAATAATGGACTGCCCCACCATGCTCGTTGCGCCATTTTGCACAATAACATCTCCTGATAGTTATCATACAATGCATACAACACAAGGTAAACATTACAAGTATGAGGGATGTAAACAAACATGATACTAAAGAGACACTCTATACCAAATGAAATGCAAGTACCAGAGGTCAGCTTAACAAAATCCTCCATCATGCATAGCGCTGACAAAGGATTTACAGTAACCGTAGCAGCATACTCCATAGGAATGTCTTTACGGACTTTGTGCAAAGCATTCGCTTCCTTGACAATGTAAATCTGCCAAGTTCCTAAGCATGTATATTTCACCATATTTATGAATAAAGTGTAGTTCAACAATGCAAAAACATCTAAGAACTACATAAATAGCAGATCAAATGGAGCAGATTAACAAAAGCATTACATTATTCTGAAGTTAATAATTGAATATTCAATGTTAGAGGGTATTTGTATTTGTCATACCAGAAGATGGAGGTGATGGTACAACCCAATCACCAACAGAAAGATTCCTCACTGCAGACCCTAAAGCATAAATTTCTCCAACCCCCTCATATCCTCCAACCGCTGGTACTGGAGGTCTAATAGGGTAAACTCCTGCATAAACAAGATGCAAAAAGAAAAGGAAAGCTGAGGATAACCTAAAAATCCCAATGTATAATGTATATATCCTTGCATTGCTCAAACAGATAAAGATACATATGAATGCTGGAAGTATAACAGTTAGTTAGGGACAAAAATGGAATATCTTAGTCAATAGGGTTATACATGAGTTACATAAGGATATTTTTTGTAATTTTTCCATATCATTAATAATATAAATATGTGACTGATCTCAAAGCGGGGGGACGTCACAAGTATATAGTATTTCAGAAAACAGATGCAGAGCATGGAAACTGGTGATACCATACAAAAGAAAATTATGAGCAGACTAAATATTCCACCCCCCGCCACAAAGAAAAAAACAAAAAAAAGAAAGAAAAGAAGTAAATAAATAGGACCACTCAATGAGCATGGGCTGGTACGTGAGAAGTAGGATGAATGTCAAATTCAAGCTGCAGTTCTCAGTATCCTGCAACAACACAGTTGCATTAAACCATTTGGGGATCATTGGAACCTTCCGATATTGGTAAGAAAGTCTAACTAACATTGGTAGGAGGAGAAGACCTTCATTGTGTACTCTGCACCTGGCCGGCAACGTCAAAGGGAGTGACAGCCTAGCAAGGATTCTCTAAAAGATGAATATCCATCATGTTCACAGGGAAGACATCATGGCCAAACCATACATAGCTAAGCGATGTTACTTTATTGTGCCCATGGGTGGATGACTGTGATGGAGAAACCAGTCCCAAAGGTCATTAAGGCCACAGCACCTAGACCGGGCCCTCTGTTAGTGACTCTATACGAACATTCAAAATATTAAAGAGGAAGTTAATAAATTGAAAGGAAAGACCAGCATGCGCACGTGACCTGCTCACAAGAATCCATCTATAGCACAGTACCTCGATGTTAAAAGAAAGATGATAAATAAAGCAAACCTGAGAGTCATAGCACATGTGCTGTTCAATATCTGAGAGTCGTAGCACGCGTGCTGTTCAATATCGCAGGTGATACAGGGAAAATTCTGTGAGATATAGCACATGCATATTGTCTAACACCAAATTAGACAATAGTGCATTTGAAGAAAACTTCAATTAGTGATGAGGCCTACACCCCACTGATTAAGACATGCAGAGGATGATGGTCAAGAGGATCATTGAGTCTGCATGCCCCAGCTTCCAGAACAATTTTCCAAAGGGAGAGGAAGCATATCAATGCTTTGCACAGAAACAAGGAGTTAACAAGGCATAAAATGTAATGCAAGATGATGATAACAGTTCTCCACATCAGGTGTAGCTCATAAATCCAAAAAACACCATAATCAGAAGTCGCCGGGTGTTAATCATAGACTTCCTAAAAATGTGCACAGTAAGGGCAATGTCAGGACAAGCGGCAGATAGATGAGTGTAACCACCCACCACCCACCATCTGTTAATACCCTCATAAGCAGGCATGTAAAATTCAAGTTGAAGAGCATATCTACCATTTTACTGCCCATAAGAGGTGCGGTTACAACAAGCTCTAAAATATACTTGCACTAAGTAAGAAACTACTGTGATGTCATCATGCAATCCCTCTATAAAAGATCAATCTTCATTTATTAAGAAGGTGCACCCCGCTGCAAGGAATAAAAATTGCAACAACCCTCTTTACGTATCAAGGGCATCCCCAATAATGATATCACTCTAGTGTTCCTATTACCAAAAGCCAAAAGCAAGATAATCATGTGGAGATCCTCAAGTAACCTTATCCACAAGCAGTTGTCCAACAATATTCCAATCTACTCATCACAAACAATGCAGCATGCGAATTATCCCGCAATTCTTAATATACTATCCTGTGATGCAAGCTTCATCCCAAAATTTTGTTCTTGGAGTACAATAAAAAATTTCCTTCGGCACTTTCAGGCTGTTAACGGCTAAACAATAAACTGAAAGATTAAGCATGATAAATCATGTAGCTTAAAGAGGAGTGCAATGGGAAAGGATGCCAATCTGCTTATAGAGGCGGCAACACATAAACATTATACACACTTCTCTTAATTAAGGGATCTCCAATGGCCATTCAGCTTCCCAATATGAATGGAAGAGGTAGATAAAATCTCAGCCCAAACCATTAAAAGACATCCAAATTCGAGAACAAACATTTCAGTTCGCATGCCATTCAAAGCAGATTTCAAAGGTAGCATGGCATAACCCAAGGCAACCATGGAAGTAAATATCTAATGTACAAAAATGATTCCAATTTAGTCTTTAACTCAAAAACAGTTTTTGGAATCTCAAGGATTCAGGTTTAAAGTCGCCCAAATCACTTGGATCCGGCAGGAGAGCAGGGTCCCATTAAAAAACCATGGGAACGGGCCAAGTCTCACGAGTTCCTGAGGTTACTGTATTAATTGCTAAAGACTCTGCAGAGTTGTTTACAGATTGGGTTAAGCAGACCTAGCTGACTTGGGCTCAGGCCCTGCCGGTTCCATGCCTGAGTCCATGTTTTCAGTCACTGCTCTAAAATATAGCACTTCATGAGCCATAAATTCCATGTATAGAAGCAGCCTTCCCTTCACAAAACTTCAAGAGCCCCAGAAACTAATCCAGATGGCACGAACTTTATTCATAAAGATAACACTTAACAGTTTTCTTCAAGTAACCAACCAACCAAAGCTCATGGGTATTAACTCATTGACCTTGAGCCTGACCTTGGTCGCCCATGAAACCTTTCTCAAACATAGCATTGGCCTCCCTCAACACTTTGACTCTTGTGAGTAATGGATATATGCCTTAGGTTTTCTCATTGCATTATTTTGTTATCCTCAGTTCTCCTTCTCTCTAGACTTTGTTGTCATAATTCAAGAAGTATAATATTCTTCTCTTTATAGGTTTTGTTTCTGTTGAACTTTATAGAATAATAATTATTTGAACAAGCATAAACCTTGTTTGTACAATTTACTTACAGGGTTAGTATGATGGATAACCTTCAAGATGACTTTTTGCCACGACTATTTAAATAGCAATATGATGAGTTAACTCTTTTGGCAACAGAATGATAGCCACCATATATAGTGTTCAATGATTAATTTCTATCCACTTAGTTCGTGTCCTCAGACCACATCAACAAGGTCTATAGAGCCTTAATTCCACCCAATGTCCACTGAAGGAAATATATATCCACTGAAGAATATATATATATATATATATATATATATATTTGAGAGTAGCTGACAGGTCCGCTGAAGAAAATGTTGAAGAGAAAATTTTGGTGAAGCTACGTGGAAGATCTAATCAGTCTCCAAGTATACTCAAAATTGTTAAATGAGAAGATCACACATACTGGACATACTATGCATGGTACATGCTGCTAGCTGAAAGCATAATTCTTTATGTTCAACCGATGGGAGAACAAACTAGATATTAGGTGAAAATTTTAAATGAAAACACCATAAAAACCAATAGATTTAAGAGAATGACATAAGATCTGAGTGATTTAACATAAGATCTTTGGAATACACTCCGTGAGAAGATTATAATCAATGGCTTTATCAATGTCATTCAGGCAACAACTGATGCTTTATTTTTACCTTTTCTAGAGACACGAAGCAGTATACTTATTATTTTCCTTACATGGGAGACTTCTTATTTGCCAGATCAAGCAAGTCTGATGTAACATCTTAAAACTCAACAGACCAACTCAGCAATCAAACAAGGCCCATGAGCTTTTGGGTGAGCTCATGGGCCTTGGCCACACCAATGCTGTCATAAGCATATCAAATAGAAATAAATGCTTGATCTTCAGTCCCCCACATCCTCTAACCCTTATAAAGATTTTGGTGGTGTATTAAACAATAAAATGACATCATACAATTACAACTTTGGCCAATAGATTTAAATCTATAAAGTAACAGTTTTTAGATAAAAAAAAGGATATCCAATTATATTTAGATTCCCTTTCCTCAGCACCTCTAGATTTGTTATAATATTTTTTAGAAACAATTTTTTTTATTTTTGATAAGTAAATGCAATCGTGTTGAACTTTTAAACCTGTACATTTGGGGCTTCGTGGAAGACACCACCAAAGATAGTGAATTACAAAAATGGTTAAAAGGAATGTCTCACCAAGGTGGGGATAAATACAGAATGAATATAAATAAATGTAACAGGAACCAGAAGGGGCTATAGAAAGTCGGAATGTGACTAGGTAGAATAGGTAGTGACCTTGAGGGAGGGAAGGGAGACTCCTGAACAAGCGAGAGAACCAGCCCCAGAATTTGCATAGGGCCAAATGTGCCGAAAGGTTGTGGGGAGACCTTCGCACAAATGAAAGATCTGCTCGAAGATGGTGTCTAATCTCCAAGGGCACTGAGCAACTTTGCTGGCTCAAGAAATAACATTGAGATAATCTCTTTCATTGAGAAGCCAAGGCCCCCCAGTCTCCGCTGAAAAGGGAAGGGCCACACATTGGCACAAGGGACTCTGCGAATGAGGCATCCACAGAGCTAACTGGTCCTGAGAATGTGAGGATGGTGTCACCATAGTAGTTTCCAAACAAGCCACCAATGCGCGCCGGTCAAGGGAAACTGTGAGCGTCGTCATAGAAGTATAATTTCCATAGAGAGGATCTAGAAATGAAGATGGGGAGATGAGCGAATGATATGCTGCCATTTTGTTAGGAAGTTGGAGGCCAAGAAGCTACTGATGAGTTTGTTTGAGGAGACAACAGTGTAGATGATCCTTTGGATGATGGCAGGAATGAGGGAGAAGCTTTCAGAAGCTTGTCAACTTCTTTCCAGCAAAACCGACCAAATAATTGCCTGGATGGTAATGCACATAGTTAGACATCCAGCAGCTGGTAGGGGCAGAGAATAGTATTGTTTGCAAAGATATTTAAACAATGGAGCGACAACCCAGCTTAGGCCAAAGAAAATAAAGAAGTGCATCCAAATCAAGGAGGTTATATTGGGTCGATAATCAAGGAAAATGCAAAGATTGAGGAAGATGTCACGC